AAATGTCACCGAATAATCTTAGGCGCCAGCTAGTTCGTTCGTATATGACCGTCTATGTGCAACGCAAAATTGCATAATTTTCTCCAATGGTAAAGACGGTGATTGCATGAGCTCGGGTATAGTTTATCTGATCTCCTGTAAGGCGTGCGGAGATGAATACATTGGCGAAACGGGCAGACCCCTCTGTGTCCGCATAAAAGAACACCTAGCCGGAAAATATAAACCAAATACCCCTCTAGGCACGCATAGGACCCAGAGACAATACGGGGAGGACTTTGAAGTACGTGTCACGATCCTCGCGCAGGAATCAAGAACACAAGCGCTTGAGATGAAGGGTAGGATAAACGGGACCTTTTTGTCGCTAGAGTTATCATTTGGGGGCCTCCGATTTCTCCTACACCTATCCCGAACTACAGTTTCGTAGCCATTGGAAATGGCTATTTGCCGCGGCAAGTACCCCAACGATAACTCTAGCGACAAACCAAAAGAAGACTGGCTTCCATTTCTGAACGTGCAAANCCAGAGACAATACGGGGAGGACTTTGAAGTACGTGTCACGATCCTCGCGCAGGAATCAAGAACACAAGCGCTTGAGATGAAGGGTAGGATAAACGGGACCTTTTTGTCGCTAGAGTTATCGTTTGGGGGCCTCCGATTTCCCCTACACCTATCCCGAACTACAGTTCCGTAGCCATTGGAAATGGCTATTTGCCGCGGCAAGTACCCCAACGATAACTCTAGCGACAAACCAAAAGAAGACTGGCTTCCATTTCTGAACGTGCAAATTAGCCTATCAGAAAACGGCTACATTACGAAGTGGTTTCGAAAGCCAAGTGGTAAAAACATCTTGGTTCATTACCTCTCCTCTCACCCCTCTCACACGAAAAGGGCGCTTGTGAGAAACATGTATCGAACAGCTACCGGCGTGTGCACAGGAAGACAACAGAGAGAGGAGTCCCGGAACTTGGCGCGGCAAATAGCCACTTTTAATGGCTACGAAACCGTAGCTCGAGATAGGTGTAGAGGAAACTACCGGTACCTCAACGATAACTCTAGCGACAACAATGTCCTGTGTATACTACCCTTCGTTTCAAATGAAGTAAGTGCAGCTATAAAACGCTGCTTAAGAAGGGCGGGTCTAGAGAATTCGGTAAACGTAGTTGAAATGCCGCCGAGTAATCTTAGGCGCCAGCTAGTTCGTAACCGACTATACGACCGTCTAGGTGCAATGCAAAATTGCGTAATTTGCCCCAGTGGTAGAGACGGTGACTGCATGAGTTCGGGTACAGTCTATCTGATCTCTTGTGAAGCGTGCGGGGACGAATACGTTGGCGAAACGGGTAGACCACTCTGCGTACGTATAAAAGAACACCTAGTCGGCAGACGTAAGCTAAGTACTCCACTAGGCACGCGTAGCACACAGAAACATAACGGAGATTTTGAAGTAAGGGTTACCGATCCTCGCGCAAGATTCGAGAACACAAGCGCGCAAAACTCTCGAGGCGTTCTGGATTAATTCCAGAAATCCGAGAATGAACTGCAGGTAAGAATGCTTCATTATCATGCGTGATATAGAGCAGTATATAAATCTGTTGTTCTGATGGGAGGGGCACATTACGCTTCCATGTGAATTCTGTGCGATTGGTCTTCACACGATATACTCAGTGGGAGACTCATAGAAAGCGGTGAGTGTGCGGAGCTGTGTTCAATGTGATTGAAATCTTGGTTTAGCGTTTTCTCTGTTTGGTTATGAAGGTGTTTGCCCAAATAGGTTGCTGTCAACATGGCTCAATATTTTCAAATCAACATTTCCAGGCTCTGAGAAAGGCGAAATCCGCCGAAACGTCAGCTTTTACGTGAGTGGGGAACTGGAATAGCACCTCGTGTTTGCTGAACAGAAGTGGAAAGAATTAATGGTTTTTGTCCATTGGTTGCCGTTCATACACATTACGTGTCCAGTCCAGCCATTCTCCGACATTTTGGTGTATAGAACGGCATCCTCGATTTTTGATCGTTGACGCATTTCACAGCTGGGGTTCCTTTTCCTCACTTGTGTGGCATGGGATACTCCTAGCATCGCCCTTTGGACTGCACTTTCAATAATGGTGAGTATTCTTTCATCCTGCTTGAGTAACGATCAGGTTTCTGAGAGGAAAGGTGGGCGCGGAGATCTAGGATGTAAAATTTTTATACAGTTCACGAAGATTCTTTATATACTGAGTAGGGACTTCCTCAGGATTCCTGTGACTGTTTCTATCTCAGCTAAGCCAGAACCCTTCTGTAAATCGATAAAAGTGAGACAGAGTGGTATTTTGTACCCTCGCGATACTTCAATGAGTCGTGTTACCGTGTGGATGTGGTCCATCGTACTAAATCCTTTTCGAAACCCCGCTTGCTCACACGACTGTCCTTGGTCTAGTGTTCTGTCAATCCTGTTTAGGATGACTCCAGTGAAAAGTTTGTAGACGACAGACAGTAAGCAGAATGGGTGATAGTTGCCGATATCGTGTAGGTCACCCTTCTTGAACATTAGCACGATCTTGCTGGTCTTCCATTGAATAGGAACCCTGCATTCAGACATGTAACGTGTGAAGTGCCAGGCCATTCTGTTTATAAGGACTGGAAGAAGGCTCTCCAAAAGGTCTTATCCTGTCCTAACTTGGTGTTGTTCGTTTCTTCACCGATGAAACAGCATGTCAGATTTTGGAAGCGAGAACCGGTGGTACGACATATCCATCTTACTGTGTTTCTTATGAAGCCAGGAAGACGTGGCTATTGAAGAGGTCTGAGTAGTAATCGTGAGTGATTTTCTCCATTGGCTTTCTGAAAGCTAGAGCTGTTCAGTATGCCTGTCGGGGTGCAATTATGTTGGTTCTGTAATTGGCAAAGTTTCGGTGGTCTTTGTTAATGCTTTTTCCAGCCTGTGCAGCTTCGACCATAACTGTTTTTCTTTTCTCTTTAAGATCTCTTTTCATCGCCTGTCTGCATCGTTTTCCAAGTTCAGACGTTAGTTGCCGATTCCCTATAGCTCATGCGACTCCACGCTGCAGTATCAGCACGAGTACTATTGACAGAGGTCTTTTGGATACTGTCGAACTCTCAGCTTCCATAGCACTAACGTGAAGGTGTTGAATGACCCGATTGTAATTCTCGTCGATTTTATCAAAAACGGCATCTTTCCCGCATTAGACCAGTGAACTACATTCGTTAAGCAAAACCTTCGATTTAATATGTTGTGGTATGTTTCGCTATAGCGCTCCATTGGAAGACTCCCATCTCCAGCGTTGAAGGTTGGGCTTCAGGAATTGCGAGATACCATGGTTTTAGTCCTCGAGATAAACTTACAAAGCCACTCACGCTGCTCGTTCCATTCTAATCCGTGGGTTCCAATATAGTGTTCTTCAAACGTTCTTCTGGGTCTATTCTTAGAGTTCAAATCTCCAGTGATGATCTTGAAAAATGCGTAGTCTTTTAGTACTTCTCGAAGTCCGTTTGGAACGCTTCTACTTCGCCTTCGTGATAGATTGATGTAATTGAGTAGACGAAGAAGATTGTGAAAACCGGTGTTGATCCACATCCGCTCAATCGTAGGCATCCGATTCGGGTGCTTAGTTTTTCGAATCAGCGATGATCAAGTCCAAAGTCGTGTTGACAAGAACCGCCGAGTCCTCTGCTGTCCCAAGTTCCGAGGAACAGTTCTTCTCTGGTGTCGTAATCGGCGTTTAATTGGTGGCATCCACTGGTCTCAGCCAGCCCGTTTACGTCATATTTTATCCTTCTTGCATGCATGGTCAAATTCTTTATCAAGTGCTCAGATGCAGGTGAGCGCGCATTTCAGCATGCTGGAACTAACACCTCATAACTGTTAATTTATGATTGATATACTGATAATTTTATTATTCAATTCACCCGTCCTCTTACTCTGGGGTTAACCCAAATTAAGCTGTTCTTCGGTGGAGGAAGAAAACGATTAATTACAGATTGTAAAATCTCTAACAACTGGTCATCCCACGAACGTTACTTCCGATATGTTTCCTAGAGCTAGAAAACTACACTCTCATCTTCAAACACTTCTACAGCACTGTGAAAGAGGTAACTGTTCATAAAGCAGACATTTTTATTTGTTCATCATCAATTGACCAATCGGATTACGCCATTATAATGCAAATAAGTTAGGGCACCAGCACCGCTGACCTATTAGCTCATATTTTGAAGATCACTCTTCTCTACCATTATAAAGAGATAAGAAAGGTGAAGCTCTCAGCTTTGCTCAATCCCTAAGAGATACGACATGCATTCGACTCCACTGAGCATTGCTAGAGGTGACTGAATACATACCTGGCTTACACAATGACTCGCGATGGCCTACCGGTGTATCGATTCTGTGCTGCCATTCTCCCAGACAAGTCTGGTACTAATTTGCAAACCCCGGATGAGTGGAGTGCTTGCTTGGCGAGCCTAGGTAGTGAGATCAATCCCATAAGTATTTTGAGGTAGGAGTCACTATCCTTACGCAGGAATCAAAAACATCAGCGCGTAAAACTCTTGAAGCGTTTTGGATCAATGCCAAAAATTCAAAAATGAACCGCAAGGAGGAGTGTCTTGTCATCATGCGTGACCTAGCGCCATACCTCAGGCTGATCCAATGACCTGACATGGACCCAGTTATCGACCATGTATTACTCTGTGCGGCGGCTATCCACCAACTAACTTAAATACTTACAACAAATAAACGGTAGGTGTTTGAATGAAGCTGTTTCTTATGCGAATGAAAATCGATTTATCAAGTTTTATCTGCTAGGGTTATGAAAGTGTTTGGCTGAGTAGATCACATCTCAATTTGACCTTTCCAGGCTCTGAAGAAGGCGAAACCGCCGAAACGTCAGCAATTGTGTTCTAATAAATTCTATATTAACAACCTCGTGTCTGCTTATTGATGAAAAACATTGAATTATCAATTAATGCCGAGGTTAACAGAAAGTCGGTCATGGGAATTTATTTTTGTGTTTTCGATTATAGATACAGCGGTTTGAAAGCCATGGATTGCTCGCCTACTTCTGAAATCGAGCATGCGCACTCGTAACCTAGCTCGGAGCAGATTGCGAGCTTATTTCCTGAATGTCTTGTTCGCTGTACACCATGGAGAGAATCGTCATTCCTCCCAATAACTGTTCCTTGTAGATGTAATCTGCGGAAAATATTTTTTCTTTTCGATCCACTACAAGTATATCCAGGGAAGCTAACCATCTAATGAAAAATATCTAAGGATAGATTCGAGGATATAGCTGGACTTCACTGATGTTCCCTGTGTTTGGTTAAATACTATACTATCGTAATGAAATCGCTACATCTGTGAGATCGTCTCTTCGGAGATGATTGGTCATCTACTCTGCGAAAACTCTATCCTTGTTATTGGCAGTGAAATCTGCTTCACGTAAGGAACTGCTATCGTTGTTGTTCATGCTGAAATCTACCCAGTGGTCCTCGCATTCCTGATCTCTTTAAGCACGATTTTTCCGAATGAAAAAGCTAATTAACCCATCAGTCAATTATAAAATGTATCAAAAATCACATTGCCTCAGTAGAAGGATTCTACGCAATAAATTAGTTATGTTAAAGAATTTTCTCTGTTCAGAACCATTCGCAGAAGTTCTCTACAGTAAACCTGGACCAGCACTATGCGCCATCTGTTTCGTTGTCTATGACTTCTTCCAGTTTCTGAACGATGGTGATTGTACACATTCAGAACATATAAAAATGGTTTTTACCTCAATTGATCGACAACGACTCTTTCTCAGTTACGATAGTTTTAAAGATAGTAAAACCAGCCAAAGATTTTTAGACGTTTTTAGCAAGATAAGTTTTTTAACGGAGTTGTAAAGTATCCCTCTGATTTTAATATTACTACTTTTTGCGATAAAAATTACCAGTTTATTCAACTTGAAAGTATAGGTTAGTTAACTAAAATGTGTCACACAGATTACATTCTAAGAATTCTGAAATATGTGGATACCCTAAACTTCGTTCAATATGTATTAATTTCAGATATTCTCAAAATGCCGTTCCTCGAACGCATACCGAAGACTATTCAAGAAGCCTGCCTATTTCTAAAATTTGTGGAACACATACCTGCACCAGTGGTAAGCATTTTAGGACCATATGAAGGCTGGGTATGCTAAGATTTAATACACTATGACATGCCCAAAAACAGTGGTCGGACACGCCCTGCAAAACACATGGGATCGATCCCAACGCTAAAGCTCGCCTTGCCTTCAATCCCTACGGTGTCGACAAATTGGTACCAGACTTGCATGGGAGGATAGCAGCAATACCTCCAACGATGCTAAATGAAGTCGAATGCATGACGCGTCCCTCACGGATCAATCAATACCGAGACCTTTATTCGTTTTATGATAAGCGCCTCCAAAGCTGATCTATCTTCGCGAGGTCTGAGAAAGAGTACAGTGCACATAGCGTAACACCACATTAGCAGGTTAGGCTCATTCTAGTGTTCCTATATATATAT